AGGGACTCGAGCAGATATTTGTATACTCTTGTTCATAGCAGCATTATACCCAAAAGGTAGAAGCAAACTCAGTTTTCATCAGTAGATGAATGGATAAATAAAATGTCATATATCCATGCAGTCAAATCTTCAGCCTTTGAAGGAAACTTTGATACATGTTACAACATGGATGAATGAACCTTGAGGACATTATGTAAGTGAAATAAGCCAGTCACGAAACGACAAATACTGTATGATTCCACTTAGATGAAGTACTAGAGTATCCACATTCATAGACACAGATAATAAAATGCTGGTTGGTAGGGGCAGCGGGAGGAGGGAAGTGAGGAGTTACTATTTAATGGGTGCAGAGTTTCACTTTTATAAGATAAAAAGAGTTCTCGAGATAGAGGGTGGTGATGGTTGCACAACAATATGAATGAACTTAATGCCACAGAACTGTACACTTTAAAGTGGTTGAAATGGTAAATGTTTACCCTATTTGGTGAATTTAGTATTATTTCATATGCATTTGTTTATAAGACTGCAAACATTTTAGCAACAAGATACTACTAATTTTTTATATCATTCAGCAGTGCTTTGTTGCAGAAGCAAATGGCGTTCCTGTTTGGTTGCCATATAATTTAGTTTCACTAACCTGGACTTTTTTTTTTTTGTCATTTCAGTAGAAAGGATAGTTCATACCATTTTAAATTTGAAAGATACCATAGAGCTCATGGCGTCTACTACTTTTGTTTTACAGTTGAGGCACAGGCCTGGAAGTTGGTTGTACTTAGTTGATTTTACTAACTACAAATTGTTTAAAAAAATAATATTCATTAAAACCATTTTCCATGCTGTAAATTGTCTCACGTGAACAAAACAACTTACAACTAATGAATTCAGCCAGATATTTTTTTCCATTCACAATGGAATGACATTTTACCATATGTCCACCTGTAGTTGTTGTCTTTGTTAAATAAAATTCACAGTCAGGAATAGTTTAAAAAAATACTGATTTGCTTTTTTTCACTGTTTTCTTTTTTTCTTCTTCTCCCTCTTGACCATTGCTAAACTTTGAAACTTAAACTTATTTCTCTAAAATACTTTCACACCCACGTCTAGACTAGTGTTTGACCAAACAGCTGAGCAGCATAGTTAGCCAAATTGACACATAGTGTTAATTTTCACATAGTATTGCCGTGAGAAATGTTTAAGTGATAACCTCACTTCTGACTGATTTGTTTCTTCTACTTTGAGCGGCACGCTGGAATTTGTACCTTGACCATCAAATCAATTTGAGTTTATAGTTGTATAGATGTGATCCTCCTCCATCTTCAAGCTTATACGTGTTTATACCCATTCAACTGAGATAATGATTGTTTGGTGGTATCATTGAGACTTAGCATGAAGGCTCAGGAAAATATGTGTGCTCCGCCTTCAACTGATACAGTCTTAGTTCTTTGTTCTCTCCCACCACTATCAATTACCACGTGTAGGACAAGAACTTTGCCACTTATGTTTGATTCCAGCATTTACAGCACTGCTATTTTTGCTCAACATGGCCCTGAAATGTAAGCCAACTACAGGAATTTGGGGACAGGATGATGCCTAGAAATGTTGTAGAAGTAGTGATTTATACTAGCTGTAGTAAAAATGCATATTATAGAGTATATACAAGTCTTATACTTTTGTTGATTTTTTAAGAACAATTCTGATATTATATAGATAGGGGTTTATGTACCCATCTTTGAAATGTAACTCTTGGTGGGTTGTAACTTGACTACAGCATGAGTTGAGGCTGATGATGTAGGTGGGGGTGGAATTAAACAGGGTCTTAGAAGCCATGTTACTGATTTTACTTTGTATCATGAGAGCCATGGAAAGCTATTTGGCAGGGAAGTGGTGTGGTCGTAGTTCTATATTAAAAAGGCAAACAGTGCGGGAATGGATGAGAAGAGGTAAGAAATGGATGGGAGAAGGCCAGGAGGGTCTCAGGACTGGCAGAACAAAGAGGACCAGGTTTGGAAGGAATATTGTGAGTTCATGGTTGGACGTGTTGATTTTGAGGTCCCTCTGGTGGGATTGTCAAGTATGCATTTGGACATATGTGGCTCTCAGCCAGAGATGTCAAGTTGAGGGATGGCAGGGTTAATTGAAGCCAAGTGTAGATGAATTTGAGAGAGCCTAGTACTAATAGAGGCAGAGACTAAGAAGACCTGGTCAGAGAGGTAGAAAAAAGGGAAACCGGGAGATGATGCTATGAAAGGAACCACAAAGAAGCTTGTTTATAGAAGGAAAAAGTGGTCAGAATGCTGAATGCTGCTAAGATTAAGACTGAAAAAAATGTCAGACTTGTTAAGTATGGTAACCTTAGTGAGAGCTATTTTGGTGTAGAGATGGGCTTAAGCTAGAAGTGTGAGGTGAGGTTAGTGAGGAAGTGTAGCCAGCTGCTTGAAGAAATTAGCTCTGAAGGGGAGGAGAGCGACGATGGAGCAACAGTTAGGAGGAATGGTGGGACCGATGGATGGAAGAGATCTGAGTATGTTGAAATATTGACAGCGCCCAGTAGAGAACATAAGGCGGAACACCCCATACATTGAAGGGAGAATCCATGTTAAGCTTCCTGCTAGGATTGCATCTTGATCCTGAGCCTAGGTACAGGGACTAGCCTCAAAAGATAGAACACCTCCTCAATAGTCACAGGGATGAAGGAGAAATAATACTGTTATTTATTTTCCTAATTTCCTATTGTGTTTATCAGAGTCTAAACAGAAATAGAAACTGCATAGTAATTTGAACAGGGAAAGTTTAATATAAAGAACTGTGTGTGGGCTACCTAGTAATAGGAAGAGTGAACTCTGAACAGGAATATCCGATAGAGGGAGCAGCCCCTACACCAGGGGTGAAGCAGAGTGTCTAACGAAGGAACAAATCTGGGAGAATCCATCCCTCACCTCCACCCTCCCTCAGCTCCTGAAGGCACGGCCCATTGTGTGGCAGAGAAGTTTGCTGAGGTGTTGAACTGATGGAATTCTCTGGGAAACTGTCCGTGGGGAGACGCTATGCCATGAAGCCCCTTGCCCAAGGAGGTGGCTCACTGGGAAGCTGCTCTCTGGAGTGCAGAGGGAAACTGCCCCCAAGGAGATGCCATGTGCTACTGGCTTCTTTGAGCTGCTGATTGCCCCAGATAGAGAAGGCTGTCAGGAGGGGCGCATCAGAACCAGGAAGAGAGCTTTTTCCTTCCTTGCTGTCCTTCCAGTGCCCTCTACCAACAAAGTTTAATATTGTGCCAGCTGGCAAAGGAGAAATGGGTTTTAGGGTCCACTTCCATTATCTGAAATAATGGAGCTGAGAAACAGTAAGTTGATCAATGGCACATCTATTATTGACCTTTTAAGTTTTTTCCATTATTTTACCATAATGATTGTAATGATGAGCATTAGTGTACATAAATCTTTGTGCACATATCTTCTATTTAGCTCATTCATAAGAAGTAACCATATTAGAGCATATTTAGAGATGTGCTGGGTGGTCCTTAAGTTTTGCTGTTTGCTTTTGTAAACATGAAGTATTTCTGGAAGGAAATGAGAAATATAGATTGTTTTAGGTAAGGGAACTGGGTGGTCACCTATTCATAAACTGAAATTTTACAAAAATATTTTTATTGTAAATGTAAAAGATGTTATTTGTTTTGTTAAACTCAACTTTGTTTCATTTTTCAGCATGTTATGGTTTATTAAAAAGTTTCCTATTCTGTTATCTTCTAGTCTGTCAGCTGAAGGCACCTATTTTCTGACCTTACTTTAACATCATTTGTGGCTCAAAATGAGTCAGGATATTTTCATTTAGTTTTTTCTTATCACTGTCAAAACCAGGTCATCCATTTCCCTTTGTGTCTTTGACCCTTGTGTGGCGTTTGATGTGACAATACCGTAGTGGTCAGCCTTCTCAACACTAATATTGCCAAGCCTGATTTTTATTGTCAGCTGCTGGGAGGTTGTGTGAGTAGCAGGACTTGGTCGTAAAAAGTGGTAAAGAAACAACTTAAATACTGATTATTCTACTAAGTTAAGTTCTGAGTTTTCTTTCCATAATCAGACTTCATTTTCCTCTTCTTGTTTTTACAATAAAGCTTTCAAAAAGGAGACTAAGACAGTTTCCTAACCTAACAATAATGATAATCATTTTAAGAAACATTTTTTCCCTGTTAGTATCACCTTACAAACAAAGACATCATAAAATAATATTGAAAATTAGGGCTATAGAATTTAGTTGTTTCTAAACACTTGAAAAACTATTTATAGTACTATTTTTGACCTTTACCAAAATTTATTTTTAATTCAGTGTGACTTTTGTAGAATTTACATCTGGTGCAAAATTGTGTTGCCTATTAGCTTTTTTTTTTTTTTTTAACTTAAACTACTAAAGCAGAAAGGAGTTATCTCTTCTTAGATTGATTTTGAACTATGAGGAGAAAAACAGTATTTTGTATTTTGACACTTTAATTTGTATTATTTCAAATGTTTTTTTACCTATTAAAATTTTAAGAAAGGTCCAAATAATCTTTAATTTTGTGTCTTATTTGATTGAATCATTGTCTGTTTGCTGCTTAAGGGATCAAAAAATAACCTATTGTATAGTTTCTATGAAAGCTTCTTAGAATTTTTGTAATAGCTCTTAAATTCTTAAAAAAAATTTCTTCTAAAAGTCTTTGACGTTTCTCTGTAAGAAAGAGAGTAGATTTTTAAGACTAATGATTCATGAAATAGAAGTAGTTGAATACATTTTTATTCGATTGTCTGTCAAGTTCAGTCACAGAAATGTTTGCTGTGTTCAGTGCTAGTCCCCACCGTCTACCCCCAAGAGATTCTTTGTATTCTAAGTATCAAATCTAGTGCTAGCATTATAGTAGACATCGGTTAAGCTTTTGTTGAACTAGGTAATAATCAATTGGAAGTTCTTTATTATGATCTTAGTAATTTAGTGGTTGTTTCTTAGTAATTTTTTTGTTTTTTCAGGACTGCAGGAATATGTGGAGGCTGTCTCTTTTCAACACTTCATCAAAACACGATCACTTATCAGTATGGATGAGATTAATAAACAATTGATATTTACAACAGAAGACAATGGGAAAGAAAATAAGACTGTAAGAATTTAAAATCATATTTCACACTTATTACATAATTTATTTAATAATATAATGATTTTAGGAGATTTACTGGCTTATAATGCTAAGAATATTGAGATGGCTATATTCTTTCTAAAGTGTGGTTTCATAGATTCCCAACTAGGGAAATGGTCTTTTTAAGTGTTTTAGTTAGTGAATAGAACAACAGCATGTATGTTGGGGGAAAATAATACTCTTTACCTAAAGCATTGTTGAATGATTACTGTAAGTCCACTTTTGGTTTTACAGTGTATTTACTCTGTGCTCTTAATAAGCACTGTCTCATTTAATCCTTTTATTAACCTTAAGAGGTAAGAATTATCACCCTCATTTTACAAAGAAAGAAACAGACTTTTAGAGAGTTCAAGTATCTTACAGAAACCACGCAGCCAGTGTGACAGAGCTAAGCTTTGAAACTAGGTGTCTTGAATCCAAGCCAGTGCCCTTGTCCACTCTGCCAGTCTTTCTCAAAGTGTGCTCTAGGGATCCCTGTGCCAGGTGTCCATCTCCAAGAAGCAAAGGATTCGATTTAAAGGTTTTAAATTAGGCAGTGTATAGCACATGACACATATGTGCTCAATAGTTAGTTGTCGTTATCCAAGTTAATATGAAGTTGTGATATAGTGAGAGCTGTTAATCACTTACTCAGTTCATAATGCTTGTATCTGAAAATTATGTAGCTCTTCTGAATTAAGAGAAACTCTTGAGGTTTGACTTTTAAATAAATACTGGGTTTTTTTTTGGGTTTCAAGATGTGGTATCCGGGCAGCGAGGTGAGATTTTGAATATTTGATACCTCCTGAGATACCTGGACACTTAAAGATAAAATTAGTTTCTTTCCTTTCGTTATTTTCCTTCATCTTTTCTTTCTCTCTCTCTTTTTTTAAACATCACTCAAAGAATCAGGATAGGTAGGCAGAATATGGAAGAAGCTGTAGAAATAATATTTTCTTGAATATTAACTAAAATGGTAATATTGAAAAGTGAGAATTTGGCATGACAGTTAGAACTTACTCTAAGGAAGCTATGCATTTTCTCAGTTTTTAAAATTATATGAAGTTTATTCAGGAGGAAGTTCATTTTGAGAAGTAAAATTCTTTCATATTTTTGATTCATTTAGTGAAGATTGAATTACACAAAGCAGTAAGGTAAGCCTATTTGACTCTGCTTCTTAAATATATTAGGGAAGTTGCCATACCTTCCTTTCAAGTTCTCTAAATCCAAATGGAAATATCAGGGCAAAAAGGTAAAGAGAATAAAAGAGAATAAAGTAAATGCACTGTTTTCAGGATTTAGGTACTAAATTATTCAAAGATTATGGTGTCATATTTATAAACAGTTTTCAAATTGTTAAGACTATGTTCATAAATAATTTTTCCTTTTACTGCTAAAGATTCTTGCTGCTGAAAATTCTGGGAATTTGATAGGAAGGTATTTTGCTCTGACTTGCTTATTGAGGATATTGTCAAAACCATTTAAATTTTTTTAAAACTCTTTATTATGGAAAATTTCAAACATACAGAAAAGTATAGAGAATACTATATAGAGAAAGTATAGAGAATACATGACTAGCCACATACCAACTACCCAGATTCAATAATAGTTAACATTTTGCCATATTTGCTTCATCTAAGTACTTTTTACTAAACCACTTTAAAGTAAATTATAGATGTCATATTTCACCCCTAAATACTTCAGATCTGTGTTGAAAAACTGCGTTTTAAGTCATTTTCTTTTCCCTAGTTTCTAATATACATTATCAGTAAAGCAGAATTTATTTCCATGGCAATTTATTAGTTGACATTTGTTAATTTTTTAACATACTCAACTTCTGAGTTGTAACCAGGGAACTCCTTCTTTCTAACGATAGAATCAAAGAACATCAGTATTTTCTTAAGCAAAAGTTGTTTTTATAAATGACTTATGAAATGCAGCCGTCCCCCCAACCCCCAAACCCAATCTACTTTTTCTGAAAAGATGCCAGTTCTCTAATAATTAATAGAAAGAAAACATAGCAGGTATTTTTATGTCATGATGTAGTTTCAAAGGCATCAGAATAATTGGAAAGTCGACTTTGGGCACTCATCCAATTCTGCCATTAGCTACCTATATTACCTGTGCTGTTTCTTGTTCTCTACATTCAGAGGTTTGGACCAGATGGTCTCTGAAGAGTCCAACCATATATAATGAATGAGTGAATATTTACTCAAAGTTAAATTTGACTCATTTCCTTGCTTAATTCTCTTATTACCTATAAAGTTTAAATTCCTTACTGTGACTTTCTACCTCTATCTTTCTAGACTCATCCTGCACTACTTATTACTTTAAACTTTGCTCAAGAGAACTACCTCACTAATCCCTCAAATATACAGTACAGTTCTCCCCTGCGTGCCTTGTAGTTCCCTCTGCGTAAAATGTCCTCCAGTAGAATTGCAGCTTCACCTAGCTAAGTCTCATACAGACTTTTAATAACAATTTAGGCGTCGCCTCTTCCAGAAAGAATCCAGTAGAGAGAGGGAGAAATTGATGTGGACAGAGGAGCTTGACATGGTGATGGTAATGGTGATAGTAGCTAACATTTATTGAGGATTTGCTTTGTATTGGGCATTATGCCAAGAACTTGGTAAATGTTATCTCATCCTTAAAATAAACCTCTGAGGTAGGTACTGTTATCCCATTTTACAGATGAGGAAACTGAGGTTTAGAGAGATGAAATAACTTGCCCAAGGGCATACACCTTATGAAGCAAGGTCCTGGAAGAGGTGGGAGGAGATGGGTCAAGGTCATTTGGAAGAGTTAACCTCAAACAAGAGGAGGGACAACTCATCATCTGAGACTGGAGGATAGAAGGTAAAGACGGGTGTGGACATAAATAAGTTTTTTTTTTTGTAGGGATAAGGTAATTGAGAGAGCTTGTGCCTAATGATCTGGCAAATGGCCAGGCCAGTGAAAGTAGGCAAGATTGTCTACTGAGAGTGGAGTGGTTTGGGATTGAGTAGGGGGCTGAGGAGAGTGCTGAAGATTTGGAATAGTGTTTGAAGAGACTGGAGAGAGAACTAAGAATAAGTCAGAGGATTGGTGAGTAATTTGTAGCAGTACAAACTATATAATAGTTGTGATTATTATTATTGTTTAGCTCAGTGGTATTCAGCCACTTGAAGAAAGCACTAACAAGAGTAGATTTTAATATTGATTCAGGGTTGTGTTTTTGCTGGGCAGGTGCAGTAGAAAAATAGGAGTCTAAAGGAACTGAGGAGGTTGAAGTGAGAGAGTAATAAATCATGATAGTCAGTGCTGAGTGGGAATAGAAGAGAGGGCACAAAGGGCCTAAGTGACTTAGGAAAAATGGAATGGATCACAAACCTTGGAGGGCTTTATGATTTGTCATTTAAATAAGTTAGCAATTGTCATGCAGTAAAGTTATTAGGCCTTGTTTAAGAATGTTTCAATTTTATTTTGTATGTCAGGTGACATTGGAAATAGTTGATTTTATAATGATACAGTATTAGATTTCAAAATTATCTTGAAGTCCTTTAGTTCAACCCCCTACCTAGGGCATGAATTCCTCTTGTAATGTCCCAAATGGTCATTTTATTTAGAGGAGATTAGTATGACTGATCTGCTTTTGATTTTGTACCTTATAATAAATGTGATACTTGCATGTTCACTCTTTTTCACAGTGTGTTTTCTTTGTGTGTGTGTGTGTGTGTGTTGTTTTTTTTTTTACCAGTCCTGCTCTGATGCACAGGATAAGCAGTTTGGTACTTGGAGACTGAAAATCACACCTGTTGATTACCTTCTGGGAGTGGCTGATTTAACTGGAGAGTTGATGCGGATGTGTATTAACAGTGTGGGGAATGGAGACATTGACACCCCTTTTGAAGTGAGCCAGTTTTTACGTCACGTTTATGATGGGTTTTCATTCATTGGCAATACTGGACCTTATGAGGTTTCTAAGAAGCTGTATACCTTGAAACAAAGTCTGGCCAAAGTGGAGAATGCTTGTTATGCCTTGAAAGTCAGAGGTTCAGAAATTCCAAAACATATGCTGGCAGATGTCTTTTCAGTTAAAACAGAAATGATTGATCAAGAAGAGGGCATTTCTTAGAATATCATTACTCATTTATTATTCTCTTGAGAACTAAGAGAGACCAATTTGTAAGACTGTTATTTAGTATTTCATTTGACTTTATTGTGGCTTTTACATAGAAATGTTTTTGGTTGTACGTGTTTTAAATTGTATACAAGCTGTACATAAAATTATCGAAATGAATCGTTTCTTATATCTTACTCATGAAAGTTTGCATACAGATGTTTGCAGATATGCCTGTTTGGATTTTTGCTGGCTAAACTTCATCGTTTATCTTTGTAATGTGAACCATGCTTCAGAGTGCACTTTCTGCCATACCTACTTTAATTTACGTTGTGTGAAATTTGGAGTGGTTATATTTAGTGGAAGCCATTTATAGTTTAAGTTGGTGATTTTGTTATATAAAGATTTCTTAGTTATACGTCTGGATTAGAGCTTCCTGTTTAAATTTCTTGGTAATATTGTTCCAAGTCTCCAAAACAGGCTTATTCCATAGAATAAGAATTAAAAATTATTAAGTTATCAGTATACTTTAGTTTTATGAGGTATTGTAGTGAGAATTCCTATTATATTCTGGCTAATTTTAGACCATTTTTAATTCATATGAAACAGCCTTTTAGAAAAATTGACAATAACCCAGATGTTAATTTCTACATGAAATTTTTGTCCTTTATCACGGAAAGTCTGACAGAGAATTGGAGCTCACATTGTAATATTCTCACTGGTGTTTGAGTTTAATTATATACTTGCACATACAACTGAAAATGAAAAGCTTTTAGTAATGAGTATTTAGCAATTTTTTTTGTCGTTATATCACATTAGGCATGTTTGGAAGCTTTCCTATTCTAGCATCTATAAGAAATTACATTTAAATAATTATAATGAAGTTTTGAAATACTAAGTTAATCCAAGCCTTCATAGTTGTCCAGTTGTGTTAATTGATAATATAAAAAGTTGCCAAAGAAAATTTATCATGTACAATTCAGCAATAAGACAATTGTCAACACAGTTGGGAATAACAATGGTAGTCTTTAGCAATATTTAGAATTGAAATTTGCCTACTGAAATTAGTTATAGATTATTCCCTGTGATGTGAAACTGACTTGAGCATGACACTATTGGCTTACAACCAGACATTTCCATTTGGTTTTGTGAGTTTTGAGAATCTAGATAATGAATTTTATTTTTGGAAACATTAGCAGCTCTGTTTGCAAGGGCTTCTTCTTCGAAAGTGTAATTTTCCAAAAAAATATCACCTAAAGGAAAATAGAGCATAGACATGCCTAATAAGTTAGGTTTCTTTGTTTGTTTTGGTGGTAGTGAGTTTTCTGGTTTTCCTTTTTGAAGATACACTGCTGAAATACAGTCTTGTTACACATTTTTGTTTCTTTTGCCACTTGAAGTTAAATTTATAATGTTAAAAGTAAAATGATAGATTGATAAATGTCTTACAGATGTTTAGAACTGAAGTCTTTGAATAAAATATTAAAATATGAAAGTTAAGCTTACTTTTTGATCATATTGAGAATTACTTAATCAAACTGTTGTAGAATTTTAAAGAGGAAACCTAACATAGACTAGCTTAATAATGGTGATTTATTATTTCTTAAGATAAGCCCAGGGGTAGGGAGAATTTCAGAAAACACGTCTCTTCACATCTCATTGACCCAAACTGGGTAACATTCCCATCCTCCTAAACCAGTTAGTGTGAAGGAGAATGAGATCACATTGATAGACCAAGGTGCCTTTTATCCAGGAGGAGAAGGACAAACACAAGAAACCAAATTAGGGCATTGCCATCATAGGAGAAGGGGAAAATGGCCTTTGGGTAGGCAGTCAACAGTATCTACTACATGTGGATTGATGCCACTGCTCTTGATACATTTCCATGTTGCATGTTATATTAATAGAGTGGGTCTTAGGCTGGGATAGTAGAGGATCTCTAAATATATCCTGAATATTCTCAGTTTTAAATTGGTTGCTTGGATAGCATCATCTGTTAGAATGTTTTTCATCTTTATTGTGAAAAGAAACTGGTTCTAGGTCACATGGCAAATTGCTGACAGAATTTTGAAATAAAATTGGGTTATTTCCTTCATAAGCAATTCCTGCATGTATTAAGTCAGTGGTTTTCAAAATACAGGTTGCAGAGCCCTGGGGCTTTTTGAAGGTGCCTCCAAGAAAGATGCTATTTAAATGAGAGATTGGTAGAATGGATTTAAAAACTTGATCCAAATTCTGCTGTCTACAAAAGACTCACTTTAGATTCAGAGACACAAATAGATTAAAAGTAAAAGGATGGAAAAAGATATTCCATGGAAACAACCAAAAGAGAGCTGGACAAAATAAACTTTAAGTCTAATTTTTTTTTTTTGCTCGAGACAAAGAACAACCTGTAATGGTAAAAGACTCAATCCATTGAGAATATATAACAATTATAAACATATATATATTTAACAGCAGAGCCCCAAAATACGTGAAGCAACATCTGACAGAATTGAAGGTAGAAATAGACAGTTCAGTGATAGAGGGGTTGGCCCAGTGGCACAGCGGTCAAGTCTGCATGTTCCGCTTCTCGGTGGCCTGGGGTTCGCCAGTTCAGATCCCGGGTGCAGACATGGCATCACTTGGCAAAAGCCATGCTGTGGTAGGCATCCCACATATACAGTAGAGGAAGATGGGTATGGATGTTAGCTCAGGGCCAGTCTTCCTCAGCAAAAAGAGGATGACTGGCAGTAGTTAGCTCAGGGCTAATCTTCCTCAAAAAAAAACCACGAAACAATGATAGAGACTTCAATACCCTACTTTCAATAATGAAGAGCAAGATGGATCAGTAGGGAAATAGAGGACATGGGCAACACTATAAACCAATTGGACCTGATAGACATATCCACCCAACAGCAGCAGAAGACACGTTTTGCTTGAGTGCACGTGCAACATTATCCACAAAACATCAGGTCACAAAACAAGTCTCAGTACATTTAAAAGGTTGAAATCATGCAAAGAATGTTCTCTGACCACGAATGGAATGAAATTAGAAATTAATAACAAATAAATTGGGAAAATTCACAAATATGTGGAAGTTAAGCAACATACTCCTAAATAACCAGTGGGTCAAAGATAAAATCACAGGGAAATTGGAAAATACTTCAAGAGGAATGAAAGAGACACAATATACAACTTATGGGATGCAGTGAAAGCAGTGCTCTGGGGGACTTTATAGTTTTAAGTCCCCACATTTAAAAAGAATGATACCAGATCAATAACCTAAACGTCTACCTTAAGAAACTAGAAAAAGAATAGCAAACTAAACCCCAAAGCAGGCAGAAAAAAGGAAATAATAAAGATTAGAGCAGAAATAAATGAAATAGAGAATAGAAAGACAATAGAGAATATCAGATCAAATGCTGGTTCTTTGAAAAGATCAACAAAATGAACAAACCTTTGGCTAACCTGACCAAGAAAAAGATGGCTCAAATTAGTAAGATCAGGAATGAAAGAGGAGACATTACTACCAACCTTACAGAAATAAAAAGTTTGTAAGGGAAGACTCTGAACAATTGTATATTAACAAATTGCATATCCTAGATGAAATGGACAAATTCCTAGGACTCACACACTACCAATCTGACTCAAGAAGACATTGAAAATCTAAATAGAACTATAACAGAGATTGAGTTAGTAATCAAAACACTCCCAATGACAAAAAGCCCAGGACCAGATGACTTCACTGGTAAGTTCTACCAAACATTTAAAGAAGGATTAACACCTGTTCTTCTCAAATTCTTTCAAAAAAAATGAGGCAACACTTTATAACTCATTCTCTGAGGCGAGTATTATCCTCATACCAAAGCCAAGACATCACAAGAAAACTATAGATCAATATCCCTCGTGAATATAGATGCAGAAATTCTCAACAATATACTAGTAAACCAAATCCAGTCACACATAAAAAATGGTTATACACCATGACCAAGTGGAATTTCATCTCAGGAATGCAAGCTTGGTTCAACTTATGAAAATCAGTATAATGCACCATATTAATAGCATGAAGAGGAAAAATCATAGTTCATCTCAATAGAAACAGAAAAGTCATCTGACAAAATCCAACACCCTCTCATGATATAGACACTAACAAACTCAGAATAGAAGGGAAATTTCTCGTTCTGATAAAGGGCACTTATGAAGAACACACAACTAACCTTGTCTTTAATGGTAAAAGAACTGAAAGCTTTCCCTCTAGCATCAGGAACAAGACCAATTCTATCCACCTAGCTAAGGCAATTAGGCAAGAAAAAGAAAATAAAGGGCATCCAGATTGGAAAGGAAGAAGTAAAACTATCTCTATTTGAAGATAACATGATCTTATATATAGGAAATCCATAAAGAATCCTCAAAAAACCAAAAACAATTAGAACAAATTCAGAAGGTTGCAGGATACAAGATCAATATATAAAAATCAGTTGTATTTCTATGCACTAGCAATGAAAAATCTGAAAATAAAATCAAGACAACAATTCCATTTACAATAGCATTAAAAAATAAAATATATGGGAATGGATTTACCCCAAGAAGTGCAAATTATATGCTGAAAGCTATAAAAACATTGCAGGAGAAATTAAGACCTAAATTAATGAAAAGACATCTTGTGTTTTTGGAATGGAAGATTTGTATATATTGGAATGAAAGTTCCATTGTTAAAATAGCAATATTCTGCAAATTGACCTATAAATTCAACATGATTCCTATAAAAATTGCAACTTCACTTTGCAGAAATGAACCATCTGAACCTAAAATTCATTTGAAAATTCAAAGGACACGGATAATAAAACCTTTGAAATGAAGAACCTAATTGGAGGACTCACATTGCCTGATTTCAAATCTTATGACAAAGCTACAGTAATCAAGATAGTGTGGTACTGGCATAAGGCTAGATATACAGATAAGTGCAATAAAATTGAAATTCTAGAAACCCATGTATCTATGGTCAATTGATTTTTGAAAGAATCTATGTATCTGTGGTCAAGTGAATTTTGACAGAGATTCCAAGACCACTCATTGGGGAAAAAATAGTCTTTTGAACAAATGGTGCTGGGATAGCTGGACATCCACATGCAAAAGAATGAAGTTAGACCCTTACTTCACATCATATACAAAAATTAACTAAAAATAGGTCAAAGGAAAATATAAGAGCTAAAACTATAAAATCCTTAGAAACAATATGTACATTTACTTGACCTTAGATTAGGCAGTGGTTTCTTAGATAGGACACCAAAAGTGCAAGCATCCTGGGCTGGCCTGGTGGTGTAGCAGTTAAGTTCGTGTGTTCCATTTCAGCAGCCCGGGGTTCCTGGGTTTGGATCCCAGGCACGGACCTACACACTGCTCATCGAGCCATGCTGTGGCAGCATCCCACATACAAAATAGAGGAAGATTGGCACAGATGTTAGCTCAAGGACAATCTTCCTCAAGCGAAAAGAGGAAGATTGGCAACAGATGTTAGATCAGGGCAAATCTTCCTCACTGAGAAAAAAAAGCACAAGCATCCAAAGGAAAAAATAAATCAGAACTTCCAGCAAAATTAAAAACTTTTGTGCATCAAAAGACACTATCAAGAAAGTGAAAAGACAGCCCAAAGAATGGGTGAAAATATTTGCAGATCATATATCTAATAAAGACCTAGTATCCAGAATATGTTTGGAACCCTTACAACTTAACAATAAAAAGACAGCACAGTTTAAAAGTAGGCAGCGGGTTTGAATAGACAGTTCTGTAAAGATGACATACAAATGGCCAATAAGCTCATGAAAAGATGGTTAACATCACTAGCCATTAGGTCAATGCAAATCAAAATCGTGAGCCACCACTCTACACCCAGTAGGATGGCTATAATAAAAGAGATGGAGAGAGAGGAGAGAAAGAAGGAAAGGAGAAGAAAAAGGAAGGAAGGAGAGGGAGGGAGAGTGAGAGAGAGGAAGGACTTCAGACTTGTACGTGAATGACTAAAAGCTGGTACCTGAAATGTTTGAGCAGCAGCATTTATAAGAGCCAAAAAGTGGAAACAACCCAAATGTCCATCACCTGATGAATGGATAAACAAAATGTCTTAGACCCCTACCATGAAATATTATTCAGCCATAAGAGTTAAATACTCACACGATGCATCATGGATGAGCCTAGAAAACATGCTAAGTGAAAGAAACTAGACACAAAAGGCCACCTTTTGTCTGATTCCACTGACATGAAATATCCAGAATGGTGGGACCTGGGGAGGGAAAATTGGGAGTGACTGCTAACAAGCATGGGGTTTATCGTTGAGGTGATAGAAATGTTCTGGAATTAGTAGTAATAATTGTACAACCTTGTAACTATGCTAAAAACCACTGAACTGTACACTTTAAGATGGTGAAATTTATGTTATATGAATTGTATTTCTATAATAGTTTTTAATGCTTTTCAAAAAATGTATTGATTGGGTCCTTGAAATTTTGCTAGAAATTGCCTGTGA